AATAAGTATATATTATTATAAATATATATATATATATATATATATATATATATATATATATATATATATATATAGGACTCACCAGAAAGAACTGGTTGAACACTATTCATTAGCATCGAAAATGCCAGAAGAGGGGACAAGTGCGCCACCTCAGCAGCCACGTTAGGATCTTTTGTGAATATATAAGCTAGACGTTCGCGGAAAAAGAGGAAAAATACAAATAAAACGAATCCTATGCCGAACGAAGTTAGGACAATATTCAAAATCGAGAACTTTGCAGCTTTCGAGTCTCCCTTTCCAAGCTCATTCGAGACACGAACACTACAAACAGAGAGTACTGTTAGGGGAAACTGGTAAAAGTTTGCAATAAATATCTACGAATTCTGTCTTAATTAATACCTCGCTGCAGCCAAGAACCCGATAGATATCATCATTTCCCAACCATTAATGTTTAGACTGCAACATTAACAAAAACGAGAAGAGAAAATCAAGAATCGATTTCCAATTTCCGTTTTCGAGTGTAAAATAACTGAAAAGGATAATGAAATTAACAATACCAGATCGAAAGAGCGTCGATTTCAACCTCTGCGTTCTTTAAATTTCCAGTCAAAAGAACTAGAATAGCGTTGTACCAAAGTTCAAGACTATCGCCACCGGAAACAAAGAGAAAAGAAAACGATAGTAAAGGAGCTATAAATACGATAAGTACGAATTACGAAAATCAATGCAAGGAAAAGTCTTGATTTCTTATTGAAGCAATCAGTGTATTGTTTCATAATTGATCTCAATCGTAGTTTCCTCCGTGGATCATACAAGGGAAGTAACTTAGCATGCATATGAACTACAAAAACTTAACCATCGAACATTAAATAACTCAACGAGTACGACAAAAAACTTTCTCACCAAAGCATCGCACCGGACGACAACGAAAGCTTGATGACCGGCCAAAGATCCGTAAGCGCCAAGGTCGTAAAACCCGTCCACGTGTCCTTACATCCTCCACACATGACAAACACAAGCTGACCGATATTCGGGATCCAGTACGCCAAAATGGTGGAAATCATCACACCGTTCACACCGTAATCGTACTTAACTGTCAGAAGCCAACACAAGAAAACATGGATCGACAACGAAAGTGCAGCTAAATAAGAGATGATCAAGTTCTTGCTCTGCGATTGCAAGAACATTTGGCAGCTGAACGACACGATAAACGAGTATATAACCGGGATGAACCATATCGCGATCCGACCCGCTTCCTCTGCAATGGTTGCATCCTGCCCTAATGCTTTCAGAATAGGGGTGGCAAAAATGTAAATTGGGAGCAGTAAAGTTGTGATCACAATTAGAATTAGCCATGATCTCTGAAGGTATATTCCGAGCATGCGGTATTGCTTTGCGCCGTAGGCTTGTCCGTACAGGGTTTCTGTACCACTGGCTAACCCTAACTACACAATTTTGGGAACACAAATTGAATTTAAAAAAAAAAAAAAATCTGAAAGCAAAATTAAAAGTTAAAATTGGATTAAGTACCAGTAATCCATTAGCGAATCGAGTGAGGAGAGTGAAAACGAGAGCGTAGGCGGCGAGATCGGTGGCGGCGATTTGGCCTACGAATGCTTGGCTGATCACATTTATTCCGAACGTTGAAAATCGGGTGAAAATTCCCGGGGCGGCGACCACCCACATTTTTTTGGTCTCGATCCATAGCTTCGACTTGAAATTCTCCTCCTTCGTCGCGTGATTCTCGGGTTGTAAGAGATTTTCGTTGCTGTCACCTTCCATTTTTACTTTTTTTTTTTTTGGTTTCTTCTGTGAAGGATTGGATTAACCGTACATGAAGAATTACAACAGAGTTCGTAGCGGAAGTAAAACAACTAAGTAGAAAGATCGCAACTTTTGTTGAACTGCAGAGGAAGGTAGAATATGTGGTTCACGTAGACGAAGAAGAAGACAACACACTGTGATTTTGACTACTGATGAAGGGGAATTAATAGTTTGATACGGGTGGTCCCCACTTCATTTAATAAATACTAAATAGATACTCCATAGATCCGACCCATTCGTTCGACCCGACCCATTTTAGTTCCTTTTACTCATTTTAATGGCTACTCTAAATAAATAAATAAATCATTTTATTTTAATTCCGACCCGATCCTTACGATTTTCACCCTTGTATCAGACTATTAATTAGATATCATATTATTTTAATCTATTTTCTTCAATCGAACAATTCAAAATTAGGCTACATTCAACCCCTAATGAAAGACCGGCAAATGTACAGTGCTGACGGAGCAAAGATTTTAAGTTCGCATGTCGGAAGCATTAAAAAAAATTCAAACGAAGGGTATTTTGGGAAATATTAGGTGTGGCCGTGGCCCCTTGACATAAATTTGTTAGCAAGGGAAATAAATTCAATTAAATAGCATTTAATTATCCACCTAAAAGTGAAGGCCAGGGTTTTCATTTAATTTGGAAATATATAACAAATTTTGAAATGTCATACTAGGAGACAATAGTACGTCAATAATGTAGTGGTTGATAAATATGTATGTAGTTGTTGTAATCGTGGCACAAGTGTATACATATATACTCCATATTATAACTAGAAATTGCCAATTTGACCCATATGAATATTTATGTATTATTGGTGAGTCCAGGAATTTGATTCGGGGTGTGTTTAAAATTTCTATGAGGCCCTCGAAAATTATTTTAGAATTTTTTTGTTACAAAATCAGAAATTAGCAAAAGAAAAAATTATTAGAGCTTTTTTTGCATTAATTTGAATTCCGGTGGGCTAATTAATAAAATTTGGATGGATTATATATATATATATATATATATATATATATATATATATATATATATATATATCCTAAATCCAAAATAGGAGATGCTAATGAGTAATGAGGGTTGGACCGGTTGGTATGTGGTTTTTTCTTTCTCAATGGAGGTTGGTATGTGGTTATTTAGTCACGTGGCAGTTAACAATGGGTCCATTCTCCAACAACTAAATTAAAGTACCTTTATTTAGGTTATTTTATATGTTTTGTAAGTGTTTTTATAAACACACATATTTGCTTTTATTTTTCTTAAAATAATTTGTTTTAAGGTATAATGCAAATGCTCCCGGTGTAGCATAAAATAGATCAGCCCAACAATGTTGAATTTTTGTATTTGTTAATATTCTTTGTGCTATTTTTGGTATGTTTTTATTTCCTTTTCTAAATACTTATATTTTGATCAATAAAATATTCATATAGTTTTCTATATTTTTAATTGAATTTTGAAGTTTATTAATTAATGCAAATAACTCATTTTTGTGGCATTTTATGAAGTGTGCATTAATATACGATGAAGGATATTAATCAATTCATGGAGGGTGAGAAAGGGGAGATACATATTGCCTATTGTAGAGGGCAATATTGATAAATGATAACACAATCTGAGTTTGGTTAGGGCGTGTTAAATGGCGCGAATCTCCCACATTTGAAGCAACAATAAGAAATAAAATTAATAAGGGCAAATACGGGTCGGCCACCTCTGAAGTATGGTCAAATTACGAGAAAAAAACTCCTCTTGTTTGGATAATGACAGCCATCTCCCTCTTTTTAAATAAAATTTATGTAATTCGATTATTTACCGAACCAAATCGTACATTCAGTTCGTTAACGGTATGAAATGCTGGCGTACCGAAATTTCGGTTCGATTTTACCGATTTAACATCCCTAAATCTACCTCTAGAGGGGTATTTTCGTAAGATAATACATAGTTGAGAGAGGTGCGTGTAATTACTCAAACATGAGGGGGTTTTGTAATTTGACCATAACTCAGGAGGTGGCCGTAATTTACCAAATTTGACCACTCGTCCGTGGTCTAGGACTCTAGGTGCACCACCTGGAATGCCCGTCTTTGTTTATGCAGTTACCTCTCCCTGTAGTCGCACAATGTTCGATTTTTAAAACTGGATGAACCGAAGCATTTCGAATTTCGAGTGCACTTATTACCATCATTCGACGAACCGCCACAGCCAGTTCGACTCCTCATTGGTACGAAAGAAGACTTCTAGAGGTACAAGGTTTATTTGTTAGGAAACAACTTGGCAGAAATTATATAGCAACTAAATTATGAATAAAATATACTAGATAATATGATTACAAATTATATATTGAGCTACAAATATGGTAATATTATTTTGAGGACTTACGAAAACATATTAATTTTAAAATTCGGAAATATTTTGCTTTTGAAAACTTACTTATTATTATAATGCATTATAATATTGAACATTAAAATGCAATAATATCAGAATATAATAATCTGAGGTTGATTTTTTTTTTCTTTAGATTTTTGAACTTATTTATTTTGTGCACAAAACGTACAACGACTAGCGAAAAAAAAAATTAACTAAAAATATAGGGGCTATTTGTCAAACACCCCTCATTCAATTTGGACTTCTTGATAAATCCATTTTTTTAATTAATATTTGTTATAAACCCAATTAACTCTAATTATCCAAAATGCCCTTATTTACTATTACTGAAAATTAATATATTATATTATTGTGGAAAAATCAATCCATTTTTTGTAGATATGCAAATCCTCCTATTCTCTCCCCATCTCACACTATCCCCTATTATCTCTTCTATGACCTATCACACATCTCACGTTAATTTTAGTTTATGCTTTCCCATTTTTTTTAATTTTTTAATAGTTTTTTTTTTTTACAATTTAAAACAAAAATTGTTTTTTCTTTCTTAAGTGTTTTAAATGGTTTATATTTAAAAAAAATTAAAATCCACTACATACACATCGAAAACCATTAAATTTATCGAAAAACACTATGAAATTAAAGTGAAAATTTACTATAAAATAAGCATAATCTACATTAATATTAACGTAATCCACTATTAAATTGGTATACTCCACTATTAAATTAGTGTAAACCACTCTTAAATTAGTGTAATTCACTACATGTTCATCGAAAACCACTCTGTGTATAACAGGTATGTAACATGAAAACCACTATATATAACAACTATGTAAACATGAAAACCACTCTGTATAACAGCTATGTAAACATGAAAATCATTATGTATAATTACAAATTTGTTTTCTTGCTCGGATAAACAACATAACGTTCAAGCAAAACAAACATGTTCATACATCTGAGCAAATAAAAACGGTAGATATATATATATATATATATAAATGAGTGATAACCCCCTAGTTTTGAAAATATATAAGAGGAGGTCCAATGATTTTTTCTACCCTAGTCAAAAACCCAAATTTTGATCTTAATTTGTCAAACCCCCCTGAGACCATGTGATACGACTGATTTACCCTTAATAGGCTAATATGCAGTTTTTGGGAAATAAGGTCATTCCCGATATCTCTCATTTGATTCTCCAGATAAACCCTAATCTTCTCCCCACCCACATCCCCTCCGCCTCCAAGAGCTGCTCCACCATCTAGAAATTAGGTAGAATTTTATTACCCTGACACCAGAAGCACTAGCTTTGTTAAATCCATTTTCTTAATTGCACCGATTAAGATGATGGACCATAAAGCAATAATCAATCCCTTTATATTTTCCGACCACACCCCCCTGTATGAATCCGACCCCGTGTCCACAACCGCCGCCCACCTCCATACACGTCGTCGCCGCCGCAACCATCTTCACACAATTTAAAAAAAAAAATCCAAACCATCTCATCTTAGAGAAGGGAAAGCCGCCGTCGTCGCTGCCGATCCACCCTTCGCAAATCCGCATGATTTCGCAAGCGCCGCTCTTCGATTCGACGGAGAAGATGAAGAACGGTGTCGTTTCAATGGCGTCGGACATGTTCAAACCTCATAGATCCGTTCTTCTCCGGCGGATCCGTTCGCCTTGGACCCCTCCAATCGCCGCCGCTACTGAGAAACTATTGATCAGATTTCAAATACTTTTTTTTATTCTCGACATCGATTTCAGTGATCTTAAATCACCCTTCTCTGGTACACTCTCTTACAGTTCTTCTCTATTTACATATTACACGCATTAAAACGTGTGTATGTGTGTATATAATAAGCATCATACATGTTTATTTATGGTTGATTGTTGGTGAAATACACTAGATCTAGGATTTTATTTTGTTGAGAACACTATTTTTAAGTGTAATGTGGGAATCAGAAGTCCGATCTTATTGTGTTTCTTTGCTTCCAA